GAACATTTTTAAATTCCAACCAAAATTTGATTACAACACAAAATAATCTGGTTCACACCAAACATTTTTGTTATGCCAACAAAAAATACTCAACCAAATTTTTTGGTTGACTCAAACAAATAGTTTGGTTGCTTAAATACCAACAAAATTTTGTTGTTAGCCCAACCAAATTTTGGTTGCTTTGACTAAAAATTTTTCTCAGCACAGTAGATACCTGGTGTTATTTTTACTAATGTTCAAAATGAGCCAATGCTAAACGACATAAAATGTGAAGCCCCCTACTTGACTCATTTTTACTGTGGATCAAAATGATCCTGCTGGCTGGATCATTTTGAGCCCGGGTTTTTACTGTGAGTGTATATAAAATGAAATTATAAATTTGTTTAAAAAATAAATTTCTGTTTCTGTATAAATATATAATACATATATTGCTAAAGTCAGTAAATCACTAAACAAATTTAAAACAGCAAACTACTGCTTTAGCCTTACTACATAACATTTTTATAAATAATTTATCATTTCGTTTCAGAAACAGCCATTTTTGTAGAATTCCAATATATATCAGAACTCGTTGAGTTTGCACACGTGTATACTTATGTAATTCATGTCTCGTCATTCCACTCATGTCTGAAGGAAATTCTACTTATTTTATTGGATTGTCTCTCATGCGTTTTCATAAATGTAGATTCCTATGACGAGTATGGTTTATGGCAATTCTAGTGATCCAGTTTCACATGAAATGTGATCGTGTCCATTCACCGCACGTCTTCGAGAGGTTTCCCGTTTAATACATTTCACATTTCTTATTCCACAACTGTCTTTATTTCATCCACTGCGGCAATTATTATTGTGCAAAAGAAAAATGATCATATATATATATATCCAGTATGTTCTACTAGATTCAAGAATATACCAGATATATTTTCTATAAATCTGCGAGAAGGATGTTGAACGCCCGCGATATCTCCAGACGTGTAGCTACCTTGTATTATTTAGCGTTTATTTACATTTCGATAAATGTTATTTTGCATTTGAGTGATTATAATGCTTATTATGTCAATATAGACAGATAATCAAATAATGTTGGAGGTCTTAATAATAAGGAAACGTCAACAACGATTTATTCAATACAAATATGTGCCGATTTTCTTCAATTGATGTTTGATTAAGATTTAATTATAGACGATAAATATTTTAAGAACATTTTATGTTTACCGTATTTGTAAACTTAGATGTATTTATATATTTCTTATTTTTTCATTGTTTTTTTAAATATATTTTCATTAATACATTTTTTATAATAAAAAAATTTGTGATTCAGTGAAAATGTTAAAACACGAAATTTTTCTGTTAGTTGGTATTTTAACACTTTAGGAGTATAATTCACTTTAGTGAAATAATTTTCACTCCAATAGAGTGTAATTTAACTCTTTGGGAGTATATAATTTCACTCCAATAATGTACTTTTTACTCTACAATTGTGAGAAATGCAATTACCGTATAGAGTATAATTTACTCCAGTAGAGCACATTTCACTTTAATTGAATGTATTTTAACTATACTGTGGAGTTTAATTCACTCCATTAAAATAATTGTAACTCCAATAGAGTGTCATTCAATTCTTTGAGAGTATAATTCGCTTCAGTAGAGCAGTTTTTACTCCGATTAAATGTAATTCAACTACTGTGGTGTGTAATTCACTCCATTATAGAAATTTTAACTCTAATGGAGTGTGATTAAATTATTCGAGAGTATAATTCACTTCAGTAGAATACATTTCTCTCTACACTGAAAAAAAATTTATTTGATTCAAATATCGGTGTATTTGGTTATTATCAAATAAATATTTACTTCAATCAAATATTTTTTATTTGAATCAAATAAATGGTATTTGCTTCAAATTTTGAAATATTTGATTGAAGTAAATATTTATTTGATAATAACCAAATACACCGGTATTTGAATCAAATAAATTTTTTTTTAGTGTAATTAAAATAAAATTAAACTAATCATGAAGTATAATTCACTCCAATAGAGTATTTTTACACTAATGATGTGTAATTTAATTTGTTGAAAACTTTTGGCTCATTGTTTGTAAATTAAATTATTTTTATATTAATATTTGGTTAAAATAATCAATTAAAATTATTTTTTCTATACAAATTAACATTTAAATTAAAATCACTTAATTAAAAATTCATCTGATGTAAAAAAACGTCATTGTAACAGTTAGAAAAAATATTTTTTTGGCAAATATAAAACTAAAAATAATCATAAGATAATAACTTGGCGAATATTTGCAACATTTTGTACTGAGGAGATTTTTTGTGTACTTATTACGATTCTGTAACCAAATCCGATAAATTTTACGAATTTTCGTTCGCCATATTGGATCCGTATAATTTAAAATTTTTGAAAACTGACATCAGATTCGTTGTCAGCGACCCCAAAAACCACTGACTAATAAGTTTTAGCCGAATCGGATGAATTTTAAGAATTTTCGTCCGCCATGTTGGAACTGCCATTTTGAATTTTTGAAATTTATAGTTTTCACTTATGCTGCAATTCAGATGAAGAAAGTCACTATCTACATTTGTCGCTTCGGCTCACATTACTGAATAACGACTTAAGCGACAAATCTATAGTTTTCCATCGGGACTGTAATATGGTATGCAAAATATATTACCTAGTGTGCTAATTTTAATGTTAATACAGAAGTGTTTCCTTCACCAGGTTCTTTTTTATTCATGTTTATGACCTACCTCACGTTTTTAGGTGCATTTATAGGTTATATTGGAGCCGTCATATTGGATTTTTTAAAAGGCCAGATAGTTTTTGAAAGTACTTATATGTATACCAATAATTTCCGAGTATGAACAATAATTTTAAAAGCTCTGAATTTTGCAGAGAAGGGTGGTCCGGTTGGCGCGAAACGACCCATATATATATATATATATATATAAAAGTAGTTTCTTTCTTTGCAATGGCGTTATAGTATACATATAGGAAGGAAGACTTTCAACTTTGAAAGTGTATATATGTATAGTACGAGAGATCAAAGAGTGAAAGAGAAGAGCAGCTGGTCGTCGCTATATGTACGTGGACACCACACAACGTACAGTGACTGGGACCAGTCGTACGTTATATCGATGGAAGAAAAAGGGGGAATAGCGAGCAAACGATTGCCAGCCTGGAAATCAGCACCGGCAAAAGCATTGGCAGCCGCCCCAATAAAAACTCCAGCCTCTGTCTCCATCACCGACCGACGACGACTTCGACGACGACGACGATCGCGCTCTCAAAGTCTCTGAAACAGCCCAGAAAACCGGGCGAGGTCCGTGTTCCCAAGTTTGACAGAACAAAAGACTATCGACCAACCCTTCTTCTCCTCTTTCTCCTCTCCTCTCCTACTTCTCTTACCACTTTACTTCACGAGTTGTACGTGAGCTCTCAACATTTCCTTCTCTCTTTTCTGCCAAAATAACCTGTCCGTACGTCCTTTTTCCCCCTTTTATTTTGAACGCGTGCGCATGGGACATTAATGGTGACGAAAGTCCAGCTACTCGGCAGCCTTCCCCATTTCCTTTGAAAATCCAAAGAGACACGACAAGATTCCAAGGCGAATTACAATTTGATTCGGCATTTTCGTTGTTTGAAGTAGGTATTTCAAAAAGGCATTGGGGACAATTTTTTTTTCTTAACTAATTAGCAGAATTAATTTTAATATTTGCATTTGTTTTATATAATTTGTCAGGATATTTTGAATTAGATAGTATCGATAGTATTAGATACTATTTATAATTTATATTTATATAATAATGATAAAATAATTTGGCAATCTTTTTGGGACTTAGATAAGACATACATTTTAGCGTTTCGAGATTGGTATATTTATTGGATCGGCCCATAAATAATGTATTGTTTATTTTTCGAGAATTTTCCACTATGCGATGTTATAATAATTTTTGTTTATATTTATTTATTTATTTTTACACGGGCAGTGCCCTTTCGTACAAATGTACTTAATTATAAAAATATAAGATGCAATGACTCGGCGAAACATTGAAACATCAATTCTCAATTAGTACCAAATAGCTCAGTACGCAAGTTGCTTATAAATCTACTTAAAGAAATACCATAAAAATCTATGCTATTATGGTGTTCGTTGGCTTCTCTTGTAATTCTGATCACAACAGAGTTATCTATATAATTTAATCTTTGCACTGACTGCCTGAACAAAATTGAATATCTAGATGGTTTATAAGGGACAGCAAAGTTAAGTAGTGATAGAAGCGGAGGACAATTTATAATACCATTGATACTGTTGAACATGAATAACAAATCAGTAAATAAGAATCTGTCAGTCAATAGAGGAATGTCCAATATACGTCTTAATTCCGTGTAATCATGACTATATCTATCATATGGTATCCCCGTTCTTCTAGCAACAAATCGCATGAATTTATTTTGAACACGTTCAAGAGGAATTATTAGATATTTCTGATAAGGTGACCAAATTAGCGAAGCAAATTCAATAATTGGTCTAACCAATGAAAAGTATAATACCTTTAACGCCAAGACATTTTTGAACCGCGAAGCGTTTCTGGTGACAAAGCCAAAAACTCTAGTCGCATTATTAACAACATTTAAGATATGTGATCTAAAATCCAACTTTGAGTCTAGCGTAACTGCAAGGTCTCGGATCATGGACACATCAATAACATATTGATACTGTTCAAATTCTCTCAGTCTGCTGAATGAGACTATATTACATTTTTTTATATTAAGAAACAATTTATTGTTTGATGACCAATTATAAAGCTAATCAAGATCTGATTGAAGATCAATAGCATCTTGCGCACAAGTTATTATTTTAAATAATTTAAGGTCATCGGCAAACAAAAGGCATAAACTATGTTTAAATATAGTTTTGATATCATAAATAAAAAGCAAGAAAAAAAGTGGTCCAAGATTCGATCCCTGGGGTACACCAGAGGTCGCTAAAAAACATCTGAAAACTCATGTTCAACACGTACCGATGAATATCTATCATTAAGATAACTCTTAATGCAGATAATTAAATCCACTGAAAAACCTAAAGCCTCTAGCTTCGACACCAGAATCGCATGATCAACCTTATCAAAAGCTTTCGCAAAATCAGTATAAATCACATCCACTTGAAGACCTTTTCCGATATGAGATGCTACAAAGTTAGTAAACAGTGTTAAGTTAGTCAGTACTGATCTTCTTCTCATAAAGCCATGCTGTTCATCAATTATCAAGTGTTCCACCTGCTGATAAATCATATCAAAAACAATACTCTCAAAGACTTTAGGTATTGCACTAAGTAATGTTATAGGACGATAATTTGTTACACTCTTCATATCCCCGTCCTTGTGAACCGGTACAATAAAACCCCTTTTCCATTCATGCGGAAATACTCCCGATGCTAAAGATTTATTAAATAAAATAAATAGCGGATAGACAAAAACAGAACTGCATGACTTTAAAATCGCTGGAGGAATGTGATCAGGACCTGCGCCTTTTTTAATATTTAAATTTTTTAATTTTAATAATATCATTTCCTTTGACATTGTGAAAGTATTAATAATTAAGTTATTATTGTAGTTGAAATCAGACGTAGGCATTCCATCAGATGGTAGATTATAAACAGAACTAAAGTGACGACGAAAACAATTAGCAATATCTACATTAGTATTCGCACACACATCAGCATATTGTACCTCTCTTGGAATACGTGATTCACGTCGAAACGAGTTAACATAATTCCAGAACTGTTTAGGGTTAATTTAGACAATGCTTTAAAAGTTTCACGCAATCTAGAAAATTCCTGATAATCTAGAAGGTTTTTTGTGCATTTATAATTACGGTGTGCAATTTTTTTCAAACAAATTAAGCGTTTTAACTCATATGTGAACCATGTTGAATAGCTATCATGTTTGACTCTTTTAAGTGGTACAAAAAGATCGAAAGCTAAGTTGACTTGATTGTAAAACTGCTCCATCCAAATTTGTCGTATCAAACAAAGAATTCCAATCCAGATTGTTAAGATAAGTATAGATACCACCAATATTAGCTATGTCAAAATTATATTTAAGATAACAAGAAGTTGGTAATAAATTGTCTACATGTTTAATAAGATTATGAATAGTAAATATTAGAGGAGGATGATAACTATCCACAGGTAAAATTGGGTCACTTGAGTCAATCAACGAATAGTTTAATGAATTATATAATATTAAATCAAGAATAGACCCGTGCGAATTTACAAAAGTGTTAAGTTGCACCAAGTTCAAATAATCGAGACAATCAGACAGGTGACTAGAAATGTCTTTACAAAGTCTAGAAGAGTCTGTAGCTGAAGTACAGGATGGTCCCTCATGAAGTTCAGCATTCCATATAACATTAGGTAAATTGAAATCACCAAAAATACAAAATGTAGCACTAGGATATGAATTATATGTGTCCTCAAGAATGGAACAAACCGTAGAGTAAGTAGCAAGATTTGAATTTGGTGGAGCATAAAAAGCTCCTAATATATATAAAATAGAGTTTTATATTCTTCGAAATAAGTTTATAATTATACTTTATTATTGTAAAGACCTTTCTATTATTGACCCATCCCTTCCTTCTATGATAAGGAAAAAAGAGGTGAGGTAGAAATCTCTATTAAATAAAGGGTCTGTTACTCTCTGTTCTTCAAATAGTTCAATGTGAAATAAATTTAGTCCTAATCTAATCTATAGAAATCTATAGATACCGAGACCGGGATGAGTTCTCTTGTCCACTATAATAATCGCAAACAATGTTCACCGAAAAACTTAAAATTTTAAATAATAAAAAGAATATTATTGTAAGTCAAATTGCCAATTTTATATAATTTTTGGCCAAATATCTTGATGAACAACCAAATGTTATGAGATTAGAGAAACATTTAGAAAAACTTAAATCTGTTTACCAACACGGAGAAAAATGGGTTCATTGTGCAAACAATTTTTGGATTGTTGTCAGTAGATTTGTTGATATTACAATTCAAAATGTTAATATTACAATTCTGATTGTTGTTAATACAATTGTACGTTGTTTTAATAACAATACGAATTTTTTGTTGTCAGTTTTGTTCAGTTTGCAAATCCGTACAGTTGCAGAAGCAAACTATCTGCCGATTGCTGATGGAACAATCCGAATTTGTTCAGCTGACAAGTTTATTGCCACTTTTGCTTTTATTATTAGACAATTTCATCGTTTATCGGTAAGTTATACACGGTTACTATTGAACATAACCTCACCTTAAAAAATACAAAATGCATATTAAATATTATTTAACAACAAATTTTAACTCAAAATAATCTTTTGGTTTCAGGTCGAAGAATTTGATTCAGAAGCTGCATGTTCCACAGATTTTAATGCAAATGAAACTTGTAAAATCTGCTATTGATTATTTTAGAAGGCGAAGAAACTGAACAAATTGTATTAGACGGAACAAAGCTTTGTTAATACAAACAAATTGTATTGCCGATTTAACAATTTAGTTTTGTTATTTCAACTGTTCCATAACAATTTTGTTTGTTCACCGAACAATCCCATTTTAACAATTTTTTTGTTCCAACAAATAGAACTGCTGGTTCTATATTGACAATCCGGAATTGTTGTGTGGACTTAATTTTTATATTCTTTTTTCTCCGTGCATCATTTGACGAAATTCAAGAAGAAATAGAGTTAATTGATTTTGAAAACTCACATGTTGACGACTTGGTCATTGAACGATATTCTATTCAAAATGAGTATTTAGACCTCGTATCAAACGCGGCAACAACTATTAAATTCACAATTACCTAATGTTAGTAATAGTGTAATAAATCATTCAAACGAACAAAGATCTTTAAATAATGAAAATAACCAATAAAAACGTAGAGTAAAACTTCCTCAAGCAATACTCCCCAATTTTAGCGGCCGTTACGAGGATTGGTTAACTTTTAAAGATTCCTTTACATCGTTAATTCACGATCAAGATGATCTTAGTAATGTAGAAAAACTACAGTACCTATAAAGTCAGCGGTAACTGGTGAAGCAGCTCGAAAAATATCAGTATTTCAGAAAGAATCTTTTCATTCTGAAAATAAATTTTGAACAAATAAGATTTTGAAGGTTATGTTTTTATATCTAAATACTAAAATTATATAGAAAAAGAAAAAGAGAGCTTCTTTACCCTATTTCTGTCATATGATATTTGAAATTGTGAAATGGCCATAAACGCATATCGAAGTACACCTATATATCATATAGAATAGAAAGTGTATCAAAACAGGACCTGCGCACTTGTCTAGTTGGACTGACTCAGTTTACACCCTGAGTTCAGCCTTAAAAAAAGGCTGAAATCAAGACTTTTTTTTAGTATGTGCCATTTTGGACCACATCATATCTGTTTCTATAACATTTTGGTAATTAAAGTTTTTTTTATCGTGTGACAAAAAATACATTAAACTCGCCGTAATGATATGAAATGAAGAAACATAAAGAATTTTGTTGGAACTTACAATTACTGTGAGAAAAGTACTTTGCTCATGTATACATATATATATATATATATATATATATATATTCCCCATTGCAATTCGTTGAAATCAATTTTCGTTATTTACACTCCAATTAATTGTATAGCCAAGAAACGAGTACTCTCGATTCGCAATTTCACGCAAGAAGGCGTGTGCTGGAATTACAACGGCCAACTCTTCTCGAGAGATGGTTGACAGCATTAAAAACTGGACCAATTTTCAGTAATTTGTACACGATAAAACTGTTGATGTCCGCACGTATTATATAGCTGTTTGGCGGCATTTAAAGGTTATTATTGGCCAGTACAGGAAATTTTATATGTATAACGGTGTGTGTGCTATATTTAAAACTTACAAGACATATTTAAACACACACTCAAAATACTGCCGTGTGATATAAAAACTTAGTTAATTGACATTTTGACGAAAAATGAGTTTTTGGTATCAATGAACTCGTAAGAAAAAGCTGCGTCTAATAGTTATAGTTTAAATAATTTTTGCAAATTATTGTTTATAAAAAATAGTTATTAAAAATCTTAAAAACTCCAGAAAATGAAAGAATATTTGATAAAAAGTTAAGGAAAGTACTTTGCGTAGTCCAAAAAACAAATGAGGCTGCGAGCTCAAATATAAGATTTGAAGGAAAAACTTAGTCAAAGGCAGTTGTGTGTTTTTTGTATGAAATAAGTAGTCGAGTCTGAGCGTTGGATTTGAAATAAAAACTTCACATTTGCAGCGCTTGCAATTAGCTAAGTTCTTCCATCAAAAATTGAGTCGAGTCAGAGCCGAACGACTACTTAACTGCAATTCGGCTAAACTCGGATTGTCCTCGGGTCGCAGGCAGTAAGCTGCTGTTTCCCTTGCTTCTGTCAAAACTTCAACTCAGAGGTTATGATTAGCGGAATTAAAAGTGTATCAAGTTGAAATTGAGAAATAAAAAACGAAGAAAATTGTAAGTAAAATTAACTCAGACGTTCTTTTTTTAATGTTTTTAAACTTAATAATAAAGATTGTTCATTTCATTTCAGTAGTTTAAACGTACCTATATTATTATTATCATTATTGAAAATTAACATTGTCTAATTAGTTCTTATTTGGTGAAAATTTATTTGCAGTGTTCATGTACTTTTAAAATGATTTGTGAATTCGTAAAACGTATTATAGAACTGTTGCAACTGTCCCCTTAGCACATGACGTCACTGCAGTTAGCTAAGTTCTTCCATGAAATCAGCAGACCGAGCTCGCGTACCTATTTCGTGGACACTACGCAAAGGACTTTCCCAAACTTTTTAGTTCATATTTGCATTCGGAAAAACACACAAGTGCATTATTTCATATAATTTGTTTAAATAATTAATTTTTTATTTCATAATTAAATAGAGCACCATCATTATACCAAGTATGTGAAGTTAAATTTAATAATTTTTGAATTCTTATTAGTTTTCTGAAAGCAAACAGTTTTTCCCTATTTTCTCGCTTCGACATAAATGTCAGTTAACCAAGTTCTTATATCACACGGCAGAATAATCGTATCGCTTTAAATTTCTAAATTCCAAAAATTCGTTAAACACAAATACAGATGAGAAGCTTTTAACGCTATCAAAAAGTATGCAGTGCATTTTTTGCTATCACGCATGTAAACTTTGCTTGTTAATATATATAGGGACAGCGAATAAGTTTACTGTGAGGTTTAAATTTTCGGTTTTTTGGTTTTTTACACGTCATCAGCTATACCTTTTTAGCAGTTGTAGCAAATATTTTAGTTGTAAGTAAATTTTTTTGTGCAAACATTCGTTAGCATCTATGGC